GGGAAAGCTTTATCATAACCCATTCTAAATCTCCATTCTTTTGGGAAAAGTCCCATTCCTTCAAGAGTTGATGATGATCAGATTTATATGATCTAGACTTGATCCAACAAACCTACAAGAGAAGATATGAGTCTTGAGTAGGTCCCAATGTGATGCTAGTCAAAAACTCTCTTATGCCTAATTTAGTAGCATGAATTGAGAGAGTGGGAATGAAATGAGAGTTTTAGAGTTTTTGTATGTTGCTTATCTTATGCCTCCCGTCTACCCTTTTGTAAAGGGTCTCTATTCTGGTCATTTAGTATGGATGGCCTTACATTTATTGGGTCATAAGCCACTTGAATTAATTTTTAAAATTCAAGCTTACATTCATTATGTATACATCTGCAATCCTTCATTCTCAGGTGATGCTTTAATTGAGAGAAGGGAATCAAAGTCTAAACTTAGTATGAAATCTAACTTTCTACATTGGCTCACAGGCCAAGCCCATCTCACTTGTGTATCAAAATGTAAGAAAATACATAATTTTTTTTAAATATGAAAATTCAAAACCAATCTAAAAAATTAAAAATAAAATAAAAATAAAATCCACAGGTCGTCGGTATTGCCAGGGGCGGAGGCACATGAGGCCAAGGGGGTCACGTGGCCCCCCCTCAACTTTTCCAAAATTGTACTTTTGCCTATAACAAAAAAATATATTTCAATTCAATCCTTTCAAGTAATTTTTTGAAAATTTTATATCACTATTTTCTCTACCTTTTTTTCAGAAAAATTTGTTTAATTTGTCACTTTAAATGTTTAATTATACTAAAAAAATTCTTATAAATTTTATATTTAAGAGATGTTATATGTCATTGTTTTATACCACCTCTTATATGAACTCATAATTGTTTCATTTGATTACAAATAATTATGACACAATTAATGACAACTAACAAAATATTGTCATGTAATTCAGTTATTTATAGCAGTGAAAAAAAAGGTGATATATAGAAACCACTATATATTATTTATTCACCTTCCTTTTGTGTGTGCATCTTGATTAAAAATTTGTTCTCATATATGTGATTATTTTTTAAACCGTGATGATCATCATATATAAAATTAAATTATTAACAATAAAGATAATTGCGTCACACTAATTGTATGAAAAATGCTTAAAAACTCTAATTGAGCACTTCTAATTCACTGTTAATGATGTGGAATGGGTTCCACTCCTCACTCCTTATCCTTTCTCTCTCTATCTCTTTCTAATTTTTAGTCCTACTATCAAATAATAAAATAAAAAATATAGATTAAGTTGGATTACAATTTTTGTTACGATTTCAACTCAATGGTGCCTTTCTGAGCCAAAATTCTAACTCTGCCATTGGATATTGCCCATGTAAGACTCTACCCCTTTAAAAGGAAAAAAAAAATAATAATAATAATAATAATAATGCACAATGTCTGTCTTTTTCTTCATCTTCTAGCTCATGGAAAAAAGCTCCAAGGTAGGAATAGTTATTCAGTCTTTTAAATAATGTGCCTTTGAAAGTGAAGTTTTTTATATGGTTTTTGGTTCATGGAAGCATCTTGACCAATGATGTCCTTTGAAGGAGACCTAATCGTTATCTTTCTCCTCAATGGTGCATTATGTGTAAGAGAGAGAGGGAGACTCCGAATCATCTTTTTTTGCATTGCCTAGCAGCGAGGTGTTTGTGGCAGCAATTCATCTCATGGGGTGGTCTTGCATGGGTGGCTCCTGAATCATGTAGTTCAATAGTCTCCATTGATTTTCGATTTTTGGACTCAAATAAAAAAGCAAAGATGTTGGGACTTTGTGCAGCTTTCGATCTATTCTGAGTCATATGGTTAAAAAGGAACGTGAGGACATTTGAGGATAAAAGTATTGATGTCTTTGCGATGTGGGAGACCATCATTTTTTGGTATCTTTTTGGACTTTAGTGGTTCCCCTGTTTAGGGGAATCTTGCTTTTTTTTTTTATTTCCAGCGATTGGAAGTCCATGTGTGACTTTTAGATTTTTGGGTTTTTGTTTTTGAGAACCTCTTGTCCTTCGTTGTATTGCCTTTTCTTTTGTTATTGATTAAAAAAAAAAAGTCTTATAAGAATTTTATGTTGTTGGTGTGTCTAACTAATAAAAAGGGACCTAACTAAGGGTGGGTAGCTGATATTCTAATTTGCCCAAACTGACCGAATTGAACTGATCTGCCTCATTTTGGACGGATGCGTGATTACGAGCAGACGGTTGTGGATTTATTTTTTTTAATTCGCCTAATTTTGGACGAATGGCGGATTTGAAGTTCTTTTGGCCACAACCGAACTATCAAACCGCGAGCACCCCTTGTAATTTTTAAGACATTGTGTTGTCAATTTATTTAGATATTCTATTTGTGTTTTTAATTGAAAAAGAGTTTATATATTCTGTTGTGTTTTCAATTTGGAAATATTTTTATCAAATGACAAGTGTCGATATTTTGTATTTTTGTGTGGAAAATATAAGGTTCAATTTTGTCATTTTTTTTGACAATCAAATTAAATATTTTTTGAATAAAAAAAATTAATGAAATAGTTTTGATAATGCATGGTTTTCTTATATGTATTTATTATTGGTAATTGACAATTTACTTGATAATCTTTTAGTTATGTTGAGTTGAATTGTTATCCAAAAAAAAAATATTAACAAGTTGTTGTATTATTTTCAAAATTTGTAAAAGTTTAAACCGCCAAACTGATTCGCATCCATCCGCCAATCCGCTCAATCCGCATCCGTCAATCCAGCAGACGGATATGGATTGATTTTTTTTCCAATCCGCCAATCTAGTGGACGAATGGCAGATTGGAGATTCTCTGGCCGCAACCGAACAACGAACACCCCTAGACCTAACCATTACATTAACTAAAAAATAAGAAGGCAGCTCCTCTCTAGTCCATGGACTGGACGATATTGTTTCAGCTTGTGGGGTCTATCATAGGTATTGCCTTGATAATCTGAACCGTTCATTTTTTAGACCACAGTGTATAGATTATCCATAAAAAATCAAGTTGATCTGATAATGGTAGCCACCTTAGTTTAGGGTAAACTACCAATATGTCATAATAGTTAGACTTAATTCGTGTTAAGTCTTACTGAAAGTTAGTCCTATTAAAATCATCGCTAAAAATAATTTTTTGTGACATTTTTTTGTATATGTTGCTAAAAATTGACAATTAGTGACTTTTTTTGTCACGATTTTTTATAAATTGTCACTAAAACTTTCATTTAGTTACTTTTTTGTGACCTTTTTTTAGACTATCGCTAAAACTTAATTAGAAACATTTTTTATAACAAAATTTTCAAACTGTCGTTGAAAATTAACAATTAGTAACGTCTTTTAATAGTGTTTAATGAAAAATACCATTAATTATCACAAGACTTATTTGACAATAAATCTACCTATTAGAACCTATATGTAACTTTTCCATTAGTTTATGATAAATATTATTTGAAAAATGAATGATAAATATTATTTGAAAACCAGACCATTCATATATTGAGAGACAAATACAATAAACTAATATGGATAGGGTTATCAGATCGACCTAATTTTTTTTTATGAATAACTTAGACATTATGATTTAAAAAATAAATAATTTAAATTACCAAAATAAAATCCATGGACTGAAACAACGTCATCCAGTCCACTATAATGGAGCTGCCTCCTAAAAATGAGGGAAAAATTATTTGACAGAATACAACTATGTAATTCTCTTGACCCATATAATATTTTTTGGTTAAGACAGCCATAGCAAAGAGTGGACGGTAGCATCAACATTGACTCGCGATAGTTGGCAAGCTATCAACTTGAAACACAAGACAACAAAACAAACAACAAAGAGTAATGTTATATGCACCAATTAGTATATCAATTAATGATGTGACGTAATTTAAAATATTTTTGATATTTGTAATTTGTATAATGAGTGAGGTCAATAATAAGATCATAACTAGTGTTGGTACACTAGTTAGTACATTAATTAGTACATGTAACACCACTCAACAATAAAACCAAATCAAGGCAATGAATGGTACGATAAAAAAGAAAACAAATAAATAATAAAATACTATGATTGGCATGTAAATCAAATAAATAATAAAATACTTCATATATTCTAATACTAGCGGGTGGTACACGTGATATGTAGGGGTGTAAATTTGGCCCGATCTGGCCCACTTGGGCCAGCGTTTGGGTCGGTCCATGTCGGGTCTCGTGGGCTCCCACCAAAATTCGAGCAAGCTCGGCCCTGCCTGTGGGCCAGAAAATTAGGCCTAAGCCCAAGGGGTATTTGGGCCTTGGGACGGGCCGGTGGGCCTGGGCCTAGTGTCACGGCCTTGGATTTTCCAAGCCAACCGTGCGGCCTTAGATGTTTATTAACCCACTTGGTTCCACCTAAGTTAGCCTTCCTCACTCGACCACATTAACTAAAACACAAAGTTTAGGTGGAAGAATGTATTCACTATACAAATATACTTGTGTACAAAGCTTTACAAGGCTCTCACTCTCACAAATGCTTTACTCTTAGAGCTCTCTTGGATCTCCTCTCTTGGATCCCCTACAAATGAGACTCCTCCCCTTATATAGCCATCCACCTCCTTAATGGATGGCTAGGATTATTTTGATCCAAGGGCTACAAGCTCTCCTCTAGAAACCTCCATAGAAATATCTAGAACAACTACCCTTCTACTACCTTCTAGAATTCTCTATACTAGTATAGTACATGGTAGGCTTCTCCATGATATTCTAGGATGTTCCAGACCGATCCAAACTCTTCTGGACCCTCCAAGATTCTTCCACCATATTCCGGAATCTTTTAGGCCATTCTGAACCCTTTCACTAGGTTCTAGAGCCTTCCAGCATACTCTAGCTCTATCTCACATCTTCCAGAACCTTCCAGCGCCTTCGGCACACCTCAAACGCTGCTCTTTGTGTCATAGAAATTCTCGGGGCGTGTGACGCCCTCGTCACGTAGAAGCATACTGAGTCACCACATCTCGATACGATCTTTGTCCGTTGTTGCTGCTGGTGCTTGCTACTTCGTCTTTGCCCTTGCCATGCTGCTTAATCTGCTGCATTGCCACAAGTGTCTTCTCATTGTCTTTGAGTAGCTGACTCTTGGCCACCAACGGGACCTCACATAGTCGATCACCTGCAAACAACGACATGGTTGCAGCGTGTGGGACTAGCATCACATTGTTCTTCCTCATGAAATCCATCCCTAGGATTATAGAGTGGTCATCCATCTCAATGACCGAGAACTCCACCTGTCCAATCCAACTCCCAATGGTCATGTCAGCACTCCTCACTACACCTTGGATTGGCTTGGCCTTCGTGTTTACTGGCTTGGACCAACCCTTGTCCTCTTTCATTTTCAAGCCCAGCCTCTTAGCCTCTTCGGTGCTCACAAAGTTATGAGTGGCACCTGTATCTACTAATGCATGTGAAGTTATCCCATTAACCTTCACCTCCACGTAAAGCACATCCTTCTTCTGGATGCTCCTTGGCTCTTGTATCTTCTTGTTCTTCTTGGATATTGACCCAAGAAGTTGGATGCTCCCCAGTTGTGCTTCATTCTCTGAAGGGCTTTCACTATCAGAGCCTTTCGTCTCTTTCTTCTTCATGGCACTAAGTGCCTTTTTCTTTGGTCAGTTCCTCACCATGTGTGGTCCGTTGCACAGGAAACACTCAAGCCGCCCTTTACCTTCATGCTTCTTCTTTGGAGACCCGGTGCATTGCCTATTCTTTCGTCGTTCCCGTCTCTTTTGGGACTCTTCATCACTGCGCTCATCATCAGTGGTTTGTGGAGACTGTCTCACACATTTGGTATGAGTCTCTCTTGCGTCCTTGGGTTTCTCCAGTGCTTTGAAGTCATCCAACTTCTCTGCCTCCGCTAGGGCTATTGCAAGGTCTTTTACTCCTTGACTCTGCAACTCTCTTGCTGTCCAAGGCTACAAACCATCTAGGAAGCCATACAATGCCTCTTTTTTCGCCATGTCGGGGATCTCCAATAGTAGTGCGGAATATTCCTTCACATAGTCCCGCAATGACCCCTCATGCTTTAGCTTGCGTAGCTTCGTGTACGCCTAGAATTCGACATTGACAGGGTAGAAGTGCTTCTTCAATTCTCTCTTGAGCTCTGCCCAAGTCTCTATCTTGCACAACCCCTTCTCCAAGTCGGTGTACCACTTCCTCCACCACAACATTGCAGTGTCCTTCAAATACAAGGTAGCGATCTGCCCCTTCTCGTCTTTAGCTACGATGTTGACGTTCTCAAAATACCGCTCCATGTTCTAAATGAAATTGTCAATCTCTCGGGCATCCCTTGCACCATCATAGCTTTTAGGTTCTGGCGCACGAACCTTCCACTTTGTTGTAGCCAAATTCCCTCTATTGCCAACGACTATGACCTTCTTACACAACTCTAACCCCAATTCTAAGCTAGCCACTCTTGCCTCTAAGGCCTTCGGTTGGGTGGGACTGTCTCTAGCTGCCTCAGAGAGAGACGAGCTCACCCTTTCTTCGCAAGAGTCAACCTTTTCCCCCAACTTTTCTACCCTAGCAACAAGACTAGCAAAGTAAGAGAAAAACTCTCTTATACGGGATGTGGGCTTACCAGGGCCAACTAAAGCTTCCTCAAGTCTAGTGAACCGTTCTGCCACAATCTCCATCATCCCATCGAGTCGTGTCTCCAACACTGCTACCGAGTCCTTTGTTGAGGGCTTCTTCGCCTTGGGGACGTTAGCACCTTCGTCACCAAGCGTAGCCATGTACACCTCCCTTGGTTACTTTCTCACGTAACCTGCTCTGATACCAACTGTCACGGCCTTGGATTTTCCAAGCCAACCATGCGACCTTAGATGTTTATCAACCCACTTGGTTGCACCTAAGTTAGCCTCCTCACTCAACCACACTAACTAAAACACAAAGTTTAGGTGGAAGAATGTATTCACTATACAAATATACTTGTGTACAAAGCTTTACAAGGCTCTCACTCTCACAAATGCTTTACTCTTAGAGCTCTCTTGGATCTCCTCTCTTGGATCCCCTACAAATGAGACTCCTCCCCTTATATAGCCATCCACCTCCTTAATGGATGGCTAGGATTATTTTGATCCAAGGGCTACAAGCTCTCCTCTAGAAACCTCCATAGAAATATCTAGAACAACTACCCTTCTACTACCTTCTAGAATTCTCTATACTAGTATAGTACATGGTAGGCTTCTCCATGATATTCTAGGATGTTCCAGACCGATCCAAACTCTTCTGGACCCTCCAAGATTCTTCCACCATATTCCGGAATCTTTTAGGCCATTCTGAACCCTTTCACTAGGTTCTAGAGCCTTCCAGCATACTCTAGCTCTATCTCACATCTTCCAGAACCTTCCAGCGCCTTCGGCACACCTCAAACGCTGCTCTTTGTGTCACAGAAATTCTCTGGGGGTGGTACTAGGCTCGGGCTTGAACATTTTTTTTCCTTCATATTTTTATATTTTTTTCACCAAAATGTTATTTTTTTTAACCAAAAATGACACTGGGCCTCGGACGAGCTAGGTCTCGGGCCATGTTTTGAGTGGGCCTTGAGCGGGGCCAATGGACTGGGCCACGGGCAGGCCCAGGTAGGCTGGGCCGGGCCGGGCCTCAAAATGATGGTCCAAGCCTAGGCTTAGGATCCCAGGCTGAGCTCAGGCCTAATCAGGCCATGCCCATCCGGGCTTCGGGCCGCCCACATTAGCTTAACTGGTACAAATTCTCCTACCTTAAATCCATAGTTATGGGTTCAAGCCACACTGCCGCGTGGTATTAGGAGAGCAAAGTTTCACTACACAATTTGAGGTTTTCACTTAATAATAATAATATAGATAGATAGATTTAAGTGAGATTAAATTAGTTAATAATTATTATTATTATTATTTTTTTTTGGGTAGGATAGAATGAGATTTTTAGTTTATGGTCCCTGGTATTAAAATTTTATAAGATAAATAACATGTAATATTTTCATAATAGTTGGGGTCGCTCAACATTTTTACAGAGAAATTTCAGTTCGTGTGGCGATATAGAGCAGAAATTTCTCTAATAATAATATTGAGAGACCTCAACTAATAATACAAAAACCCTCTTCTACTATCAAAAGTTGGAGAGGATGTTTCACTATTTGTCTCAAATAAAATTTATCATAAAATAAAATTATTTACTATGACTTTTCACTAATGCAGACAAAATGGTTCTAATATTCTTAGGGATTCCGAAAAGGTACAGAGAAAAATTTTCCAATGAAATATGTGGTGTAGATTTAAAATTTCCTTTTGTTGTGTGGACCATCGTAAAATGAATATGATCCTACACATTGTATTTTCTGAATATTATTGTAAAACAAAAATGAAAAAATCTCCCCCGACTTAGTTTGACTCTCAATCAGTAGTTCTAGGAACTGAGAAAAATAAATTAAAAAGTGCTCAAAATTTGTAATCAAAGGTTACGATTTACTCATCTGTAACCTTATAATAACAATTTCTAGGAACTCAGAAAAATAAATAAAAAAAGAGACTAGAATTGATAGTCAAAAGTTGAGATTTACCAGTGTATAACCCCATAATAACAACTTCAAATACATACCTTAAATACAAAATCTAAGCTATTTTCGAATTTATTATCTAGATTCATAGACTTGGTTGGACTCTCAACATCTTGATATTGACAGTCTCTTGAGTGTTTGGTTAACAATGCCATTGACTTGACTCTAGTATGTGGTGGTGTTCGTCTAATAGCAAGGTCTGTGTGTTTATGTCTCCAAAAAATTATGAGAAATTTTATAATACACACATCATTTTGATTGTGGTATTAATTATAATTTATTGTGAATAGTATTTTAATTATGATCAAAATACTCTTTATTATATTTTATGTGGTGTTTGATTATAACTTATTATACACACCCCAAAGCAAAGCAGGGCAGGTGTGTACAGTGGCACTACCCATTATTACCAACATCAAGAGTTACAATTGCAATTTGTTATCTAATCAAGTTAGATACACAATTTACAGACCATAATCACATTGTCAGTGATTGATGTTTCCATGGCTTTATCCAATTTCTTTTAGTATAATTTATTCTCATACTTCATATATCAAATCATTTATCCCATCTAATACTGGTATAACTTATCGTATAATCCTATTAATAATCTCATTCATATCCAATCACATAAAATTTAATCCGGTTGAACAATGACGAACGGTCGTTAGACTTGAAATCACCGAACCGATGACATTATGTTTACAAAAATGAGTGGAGTCAACTTGATCCGCCTTGATTAACTGGGTGAGAGACAAGGTCAATATCAATTATACATTTTTTTACGCGGCCTCATTAATTGGGAACCCCGCGTACACGTTATTACGAAGATGTTGTGATACACTACACAATAATTTTCAGTAAGAAGGGTACATCAGGGTCACATTTTTCAAGTCATTTTGGGTGATTGCAAAAACATAAGGATAGTCAAGCTCAGTAGATGGACTTGACCCAATGAATTCTCTCAAATAATGAGTAGGCTTGCTATGAATTTTGGCAAAAACTTTTACCCTTCTCCCTTTATTATTTCCTTTCATCTTCTAAAACACAAGATGGAGCAGAACGCCATGCTTTACAGGCCAAGTTCCTTCTTGCTTTTCTCTTACATTATTATTATCTTTTACATGAACTCTGTTCCCACTTTTAGTTTCACAAATGAGACAGATATGCGAGCTTTGCTAGCAATCAAGAATGGAATACAGGAAGATCCTTTCAAGGTCTTTAGCTCATGGAACAGTTCTCATCACTTCTGCAAATGGCAAGGAGTTACTTGCAGTCAGAGGCATCACCAGAGAGTGAGTTCTCTAAACCTTTCATCACTTACATTATCAGGTTCCTTGTCTCCTCACATAGGAAACCTTACCTTCCTTCGAGTGATCGACCTCGTGGACAACAACTTCCATGGAGTGATTCCACAAGCAGTTGGTCGATTGTTCAGAATTCAGTCACTTTATCTTGGAAACAACTCTTTCAAGGGAGAATTTCCTGTTAATGTGACATATTGTTCAGACCTTAGAGTCATTAATTTAATCAAGAATAATCTCAGTGGGAAGGTTCCTATTCAGCTCGGTTCTCTGCCCAAGCTTGAATATTTAGACCTAGCTCAGAATCGCTTTATTGGGACAATCCCACCTGCACTTGGGAACCTCTCAGCTCTTCGTTGGCTTTATATGTCAACCAACAATTTACAAGGCCAAATTCCTATTGAAATTGGAAAGCTCTCAAACTTGGAACATCTTCAGTTGTCTATAAACAAGCTTTCTGGTCCGACCCCATCTACTCTTTACAACATTTCGACAATCCATTTTATAGCTCTAGCCTCAAACCAATTCCATGGAAGCTTGCCCCCTAATCTAGGCCTTGTTTTTCCAAAACTTGAAACAATTTTGATGGGAGCAAACTGGTTCTCTGGGACCATTCCGGGCTCGCTGGCCAATGCATCAGGTCTCGTACAGATTTCTTTTGCTGAAAATTCTTTCACTGGGAGCATACCACAGAACTTGGGTGATCTTCAACAACTTGAAGTTTTACAATTTGGGGGTAATCCGCTTGGGGCTGAGAAAGCGAATGACTTGCACTTTCTCACCTCCTTGACTAACTGCACCAAACTCAGGTGGTTGGTTTTGTATAACAATCAGCTTGGATGTGTGTTGCCCACTTCAATTGGTAATCTCTCCACCAAGCTCGTAGGACTGAATTTGGATCAGAACTACATATCAGGAAGCATACCTCCGGAAATTGGGAGCATTGTCACCTTGGAGGTGCTTACATTAAATGACAACCATCTCACTGGCAACATTCCCAGTTCCATTGGAAAATTTATAATGATGCAAGAGATCTATCGGTCCAACAACAAAATCTCGGGGAAGATTCCAGCCACCTTCGGTAACATGTCAAAACTTAGTATTCTTTTGTCGAATCAAAATATGCTAGATGGAAATATACCTTTCTTTGGGTAATTGCGTGAATCTACAAGAACTGGATCTTTCACAAAATCGCCTTACCGGCATGATACCCAAACAAATTGTTGGACTTCCTTCACTCACTCTAGGCCTCTCTGTAGCTCAGAATTTCCTAGCAGGACCACTACCATCAGAAGTGAGTATTATGAAAAATATTGGGCTATTCGATGTTTCAAGAAACCAACTATCAGGAAACATTCCAAGCACTCTTGGTGATTGTCTAGTGTTGGAATTTCTTAATATGGAGGGTAACCATTTTGAAGGTACTATTCCACCATCTTTCAAACAATTAAGGGGTATTCAAATACTAGATCTTTCAAATAATAATTTGTCTGGCAAGATTCCGAGTTTTTCTAGGCAATTTTTCTTTGATTCAATACCTCAACCTTTCCTATAATAAGTTTGAGGGTGAAGTTCCAAGTAAAGGAGTGTTTAGCAATATTAGTGCATTCTCAATTGGGGGAAATAGCAAGCTTTGTGGAGGAAGTAAAGCATTGCAATTGCCTGCATGTCCCACAAAAATTTCAAAGAAACAAGAAAAGCATTTATCCAATAGAGTACTAATTATTGCAATTAGTGTTCCTGTCTGCATCATTTTGCTGCTCGCATGCATTTGTGTGACTCTGTATTGGAAAAAAAGGTTGAAAGTGAAAGCAATTTCAACCTTGTCTCTTGGGAACCAGTACCCAAATCTTTCTTATGCAGAACAACTTCAGGCAACTGAAGAATTCTCCTCAAGAAATTTGATTGGCAAGGGAAGCTACGGTTCTGTGTACAAAGGGATTCTCAATGCTGAAACTATGAGAGCAATTGCAGTCAAGGTACTCAATCTTCAAGTAAGGGGAGCCAGCAAGAGTTTCTTGGCAGAATGTGAAGCATTGAGGTACATCCGACATCGAAATCTTGTTAAGATAATCACTGCTTGCTCAAGCATAGACTTCAAAGGCAATGGGTTCAAGGCTTTGGTCTTTGAATACATATCCAATGGGAGTCTTGAGAGCTGGCTACATTCTAGATCAGCGAACGAGGAGGACTCCAGGGACTTGAGCCTTGTTCAAAGGTTTAATATTGCAGTTGATGTAGCCTCTGCATTGGATTATCTTCACAACCACTGTGAAACACCTGTCATTCACTATGACTTGAAACCGAGCAATGTTCTTCTTGGTGATGATCTCTCCGCCCGTGTAAGCGATTTTGGTTTGGCAAGAATTTGTCTGACCGAGACCAGTGCATCCACTCATACACACAGCAGTACTTCAAGTAGAATTAGAGGAATTTTATATTTCTTTTGTTAAAGTTCTCACTCTAAATTGTGTTTCACTAAAAGGATCAGTATGTGTATCAAACTATGCGAATTCAGTTACATTCTTTGAACCTCATATTTGGAAAAGACTACCTTTTACATAACGAGATTAATCAGTATTCAATTGCAACTGCAATTAAATTGAATATACTAAATTTTCATGTGATGTCAAAAGCTTTTTAATCTGGAGTGCTTGGGATGTATCCTTCAAATTGGAGTCATGTGTTCTGCAGATTTACCAAGTGAAAGAATGAATATTGGTGATGCTCTCAATGAACTGCAAGTGATTAGAGATGTTTATCTCGGAAAAAGAGAGATGAAATAAACAAGATGACAAGATCATCATTGTAGTTTTCTGTTGTGTCACTGTATTCATCTCAGTTATGAGTAAATTCTGAGATACCTGAATAACATAATTGTATAATTGTTTCTGGTTTGATGCAGCTTATTTATGGAAACTTCTCGCTTAAAATAAAAATCAGTAAATAAGTAGACATTTTGTCTTCGGATGTAAGGGATTTTGAATTTTGATGGTGTATTCAAGAAAAACTTATAGGCCCAATGTTATGGACCTATCTGATCATCTTTTGCATTTTGTTCGGTGATTTTTATAATGTTTTGTGCTGCCATATTTCAGTTCTGAATACACGCTGATTGAATTCAGCTCAAGCCCGAGTTACTATAGCTTAAGTAATTTGGTCACGGTTCCCCAAGATTTAGGAGTTGATACACAATAAATATCAGTATCGGAGAGACACAAAACACAAATAAAAATGAGAACAAGAAACAAAATCAAGCTTATAGGAATTACTGCAAGAGATTCGTTCATTATTTTTTGGTTTTGGTTAAAGAACAAAACAAAAAATAAAACCAAAAAAAAAAAAAAAGGCTACAAAAGTGTAACAGGCTACTTTAATTCGGATTATCTAGAATTGCAATAAGTAATTTAAATATAATCTGTATGGCACAAAAACATCAAAATTGCAAAGAAATAAAGAATAAATGGGAAGAACACAGTACAATGATCAGCTCACTAACTACTGACTATTATTTCTCACAACACTGGTCTCGTTTGAGAACATGCTATTTCAGTAACTTTTTAGTTTTTTGGTTAAAATATGAGATAAAAAAATTAATATGTTTGGAATGATTTTTTGATTTTTTACGAAAAGATATGCAAAAAATAGAGGGAAAAAAGAATTTTTGACTTTTTGGTATAGGTTATTGACTTTATAATTTTTTTAGTGACTTTTTTACTTTTAGGCTAAAACAATGAGTTTCCAAACGAGGCCTAAATATCAAACATACTCGCATGCTAACAAATCCAACAAGAAATTAAAAAAAAAGAAAATGTGTAAATTGGGAGTAGAACAAAATTTGATGCCAAGAAAGCCTCAGATGTCATCAAACAGTACATGTACATGTATGGATGGTACCCTTTCAAGCATAAGATGGAGCCAGACATTCGTCAACCATATCTACAAGGTTGGGATTTTCCAAAGCGGCTGCCACCCGTTCTTTATCATTCAACTGTTTATTCACTGTCAACAGAAAGGTGCACAACAAACATCATAAATCTTTTTATAAGATTTAGGATTACAGAGTGACTCTGCATAATAAATTGATAATCACCAACTCAGATCACATTGCATTCAAGGTCGTTAAAATCAGAATCCTACATAAAATCGGTAAAAGGGTCTCATGGATTGGATCAAGGATTGTAAGATACTACTTTCCATTAAAAATAAGGTAAAAATACAAATTAAGATGATACATATAAAAAATAATGCAAAAAGTTACAAATCTAGTGATCCTACACAATCCCATACAATCGTACACAATCCTACTGCCGATCATGCAATAACACTAATCCTACAAGAATTTGGATCATTTTAACAATTTAGGAGATCTTATGATCCCAATCACAATTTTGATAACCATGATTGCATTAAATACATTAAGTTAATGATATTGCTCTTTAGGAGTAGATGCAGGAAACATTGCCGAGAGACAGCCTCCACTTGGTCAATGAAGCTTAAAGAAACTTCATATTCAGTTAAAGATGGATTGTGTAATCACAAAGATGGAGGTTATATGTTTAGTTTATTTGTTTAACAGGTAGATGATAGATTGAAGGCACTCCACCAAGGAGACCTGAATTAATGTCTGCAAACTCTTTACAAACTTGACCTGGTGAGTTTGTAGAATTAATAGTGGGCCACAAGGTGCTTTTCATATAATTAGATGTATACCACAGAGATGATAGCAACACATACATGTCTGAGAGAGAGAGAGAGAGAGAGAAACCTGCAGCTTCAGTTGCATGAGTTCCAGGTGCTACCCTGATATCCACCTGGAACAGTAACAAGAGATGTGAAGAAAGAGTAAGACGACCTAAACCTGAAGGCTGTATTATTTATTATATTGATAAGCAAAATTGAAGGCTGTTTTATATTGTTAATTTTACCAAAAGCATCACTTGTTGGATTTTTCAACTGAAGTTTCAGACAATTTTTGCTAATTCAATTTTTGGGGGAATTAATAAGTCTACACATAATATTATTAAGAAAGAAGGTAAGACTCTAAACCCAGAACTTCGGAACTTTAAGCTTAACATATACTGTGTGTATATGTGTATACACACGCTTTTCCTGCTGCGGTAAGGCTTTGGCTGCAGAACATGTTTCGTGGCCTGGAGTAATTATTAGGTGGTGAATATGCTATTCTACTGCCTACATTTCCCTTGCTTACTGTTTATTTTGACACACACCCACATCCCACATATCCAGGTTTAACCCTGAGAACCTTTAACCATGAAAAGCCTCTCATACACCAATCTTTACAGGTCTGCGCATTGCTATTCACCTACTCAAATAAGAGAAAAAAAATAAATAAATGGATAAATAAAATTGGGGTTGCACATGCAAGAATGGTACATAAGCTCCAGCAGTGCCAGTCAGTTTGTAATCAAATCAGAGAAGGGAATTTCTCCGATCAACTTTCATCCTTACTTTCACATATATTCAGGCACAACAGCACTTTTGACTACTGGAATTGGATTAATAACTTTATCGACTCCCAAGTCCCAATGTTCTCTGATGGTACTCATCTAAATACGTAATAAAGACCCATGATGTTGTTAACCCAGCTATCCATGCTAGAATAAAGGTCATACCTTATAATGCAAAGGCAGGCTGCGCATGAGTTGCACTCGCAAGCAAAGGCCGATCACCGTTGCCATACAGCAATGTTCAACTGTTGGAGTGAATGTCACCCTAAATCAGAGAACCATTTTTAATTTAGATGACTGGAGAATGAGACCCAATATGAGAACAAAAAACTTCAACAATACATGGAATTTGTCTCTACCTCACACAGCTATGCCTGTCATCTACCTCAATTGCATCTTCTGTTATTACTTTCAGCTCTTCCAGTGAATAAGGATGCTCAGGATCTTTTATGTCTCTAAGATGATTTGCGAATGTTAAGAAAATCTCAGAGTTCCAAAACTAATTAGCTTCCTTGTACAATTTGGTTTGGTACTATACCTCTCATACTTATATGATAAGGCTTAGTGCCTAATCATATCCCAGGAACAAACTCAAAACAAAAAAATGGGGAGAAAAACAATAATACATTGGCAAAAAATCTACACTTATGCTTCCAAGTACCAACCAAAATATACACTTGTTTTATGCGATATGTTCACATATATACTGGAGAAATGTTTGCGCGTGATTCTTAGATATATGTCCCTACTCCCTAGATGGGCTGAATAGGGAAGAAGATTTTGCGATAATTGACCCCAAGTGGTTAAGATGCAGGCCCTGTCAAACAGAGTTGATGAGTTTATGCATAAATAAACACACACACATAAAGCTTTACAGGTAAATATGACAAGTGGATATACCTTTCCAATTTCCACATTTTGCTTTTGAAGCCTCTCTCAATAAAACATGCATAGACATGCCTATATATATGCACAATTGCATGCAGCTTAAATCACAGAGAGAGAGAGAGAGAGAGAGAGAGAGAGCACCCCATTGTTACAAAATTCAAGAACAACACCTCAGAGATGCTGCTATTTCTAATTAAATTTGTACATTGTTTTAGAATAAGTACCTAAACCACTTCAATGCATGTGCTTGCAGTAGAGTAAACTTTTTGGTCTCCTAGTATTAGCATCACAACACTTCAGAGGCATTTTCCTCATTAATATTGTGAAACTGGAATGCCACTCCAAGGGGTTCAATTGAAACTGAATTATAATAAAAGCTCCTTGAGAAATACAGGTCAAATAAAGACAATAAAACTGAAGATGGATCACAAGAGTTTGATCAACACAACTAAACTACAGATTCCTTTCCAGAACATTTCTATACATGTGAATTTAAATCCCAACAAAGCTTAGCAAATAAAGCAATGAATTCCAAGATATAAAACCAGGAAGACACAGTGGACATTACAGAGCATCAAATGTAATCAAACGGAAAGGATATCAAAAATTTCTAGTTGGTCAATGGCCTCCACAGCATACGCATCCACATCACCAGGTTCAGTTCTAGCTCGGCGTTCCTTCTTTTCATACACAATGGGATTGGCATTGATTAAACCAGAAACCATTTTCCTCAATCAGCTTGCTGAAAGTTCGCAGAAGTATTACATTAGACATTATAAACTTCTGTTCACATCACACCCAAAAAGGGCAAGAAATCAACAAGTTCATGCCCAGATTGAATCCAAATTGATATCAAATTATTGCATAAACATTGAACACCACGGACCCCTAGTTCATAGAATAATTTGTAAAAGGAAACGAAGTTTTTAATCAGAATATGACATTCACACACATTTAATTCCAATTCAAACTCTCCCCCATCATAAAACTGCCCCAACAAATCCTCTTTATACTTGAACTTCAAACACAATCTCTCTCAACCACACATAAATATCTCCAAATGAAAGTACCCCACAACGAAGAGAAGACATCCAACAACTTATATTTACTTGTGGGAAAAAAGAAAAATAACTAAAGAAAGAAACAAAGAGAGAGAGAGAGAAAAAAAAAAAAAATCATTCAGGATACAAAATAGGAATATCATTCTTCACCACAAAATACAAATATTTCTTTTCATGTTATTCTCTCCTATTATATATGATTATTTATTTATTTATTTTTGATTGGCACTGTGGTGTCTGGATCAATGCCCCCACTAATTCCCAAAGGTGCATAGCCCTCAACAAGGAGTTTTCCACAAGTGCACCACGGTTAATTCAAGGATTTTCTCCTAATTCGATGGCTCCAAAGAATTGTTAGAATCTAAGAGGTTTCGATCTTGAACCTTGGAGGGGAGCACACCCCAAGACCCAATATGATTATTGTTCTTTTTTTTTTTTTTTTTGTTCTAAATTGACAATTCAACTGCTAAAATGTTTTAAAAACAATCACTAGGGCAAAAAATTATACTCCATAATACCCTTACTTAGACATAAGAGATCAAAGTAAGCATTAAAGTAACTTCTAGCTTGAAGAACTTGGGTTCAAACCACAAGCATCAACTGAACAGACGCCTATAATAGAAGCTACATAACCGCAATAAAACAACATGCAAATAGAGGAGGATAAGTGACGATAATTTTCTACAAAATTCTAGGTGTTTTTAAATTCACGAGGTTTCTCCTTGGAAACAAACAGATGGGAAGTTCAGGTTAAGAGCTCTAATATAGATTACATATTTTACCTTGAATCCGAAGCAAACAGGAAAAACAGAATCTTTTGAATTTGGCGCCGTAAGGAGAGCGCGAACCGCCTAATTGAGGAAGAGACAGTATGCACAGGAAAATCAAGTAATAGGGCTCCTGTCATGCTTCTTCAAAATTCCAACAAATTTGTCTTAATTTTGCCCTTTTTTTTTTTTGAAATAAAAATATTTTGATAAAAAAATTATTATAAAAATGCACAACTTTAATTTTTCTTTTTTTTAAAAAAAAAAACATATATAATAAATCACAAATTATAATAATTATGTCATATGTTTTTACAAAATACATAATAATGTGTATATTGTATACCCTGCTTTTAAAAATGAATTTGAGAAAACTCGATGATCTGAATTATTTATTTTGTAATAATATATCATTAAAAAAATTTGTGTTGAGAATGATATTGTTTTTATTTTATTGTGTTTATCTCAAAATTGTTGATGATCACTTTTAAAAATATACTTGTCTTTTATTTTTTTGAAAACCAACATGATAAAAGAAAAAAATTTACGATTATTGGATGAACTTAATTTTTAAAGATATTACATGTCAGTGTACTCCTACAAAAATAATTATAAATGAGTGAAAAAACTTTATCTAACATTAGTAATTAAAGTTATAAGTTTTTTTTAATGATTCTGTAATTTTTTTTTTTTTTTTTCTATGAATGACACTACTAGTAATATACAAATGGGAATTTCAAATTTGAAAATTTTATTTTAAGCACTAAACGTATGTTTATTTCATTAGCATAAGACGAAATGAAATAAAATTAAATGAAATGACACTTTTTTATGAAATAAATATTTTGATGAATTTCAAACACTAACCAAAGAGAGTGATTGTTGAGTTGAGAGCAGATTTGGAATAGCACCTTGAAAGTACACTCTCTCTGTACATACTTGTGTGTGTATATATATATATATATCTTGGGAAATTCTCATTTATTTATTCACATTTATAAACATGTACACAAAAAGATTTTCTCATTTATTTATTATTATTATTATTATTTTGGTAGAAATCTCTGCATTTGATTTATTCCTAACTGTAAAAATAACTGATGTATTATTATTGATTGTATTACAAGATTGTTGTATATATTTCTATTTTTATCTGTATATTACAAGTCCTATATATAGAGAGGTTTTGGACAGCAGAGCACATGTACACTCTCTCTGTACATACTTGTGTGTGTATATATATATATCTTGGGAAATTCTCATTTATTTATTCACATTTATAAACATGGACATAGGTATATTGTGGTACACAAAAAGATTTTCTCATTTATTTATTATTATTATTATTTTGGTAGAAATCTCTGCATTTGATTTATTCCTAACTAATGTTAAAATTGAACGGCCTCAATTGATTCGGTTTCTTTTCTTTCCTCAGAAATTATTATTATTTTTTTGTGGGGGTTGCTCATAAAACCGAGATGTGAAAGAAATAATACTAAGAGCTAGGAATTGTTGCTTTGAGATAATTTGTTTAACTTTTTACTTGTTAGTTTCACTTCCTTTTCTGGCATTGCTCTCTGCTACCAAACAGATCCCTTCCAACTTGTTAATTTTCTGTCCTCTGTTTGGTGGCTAAGAAAACCAATTTCAAGAATTGGAAGTGGGTTGCCTAGATTTTTATTCTGCTCTGTGACTTAATTGGATTAATTTGTTCTTGATCTTTGCCTTAGATATTGGCTTTAGTATGCCCCAGTAGCTGAGTTTAACTATGCATAAAACTCTCATTTTATCATAAGAAAGTCAAAAGAAGTATTTAAGAAATGTGAAATCTAACCATGTCTTAGTGTCTTTGTATATGAGAATTAGATGAACCCAATACAAGCTTATGTAGTAAATCAGTCTTTGAAATACATCCATAGTTTTCCCTCTAAAAAAAACAAATACATCCATAGTTCCATACTGTATCAAATAAACATAATCTACATACGTGTCTTCAAATAAGATGTCGTCGCTATATCTGCCTCCTCACCCGGTCTTTGAACATGAACTAGTACATTTCTAATCCTATGTAGTTCCACGAGAACATCTTTAATATCCATTCGTTCTCTTGGGCCTTCAGCAGAACAAGAAACTCCAATTTGAAATATCGATGCTAAGCATTCCTCTATTACTTTGCCTTCAGAACTTTGGCCGGTCTTACTAGACCCGTGTTCCTCTTCCATTATGATTTGTGGATCAACAATTTCCATCACTCGATGTGGGAGAACCATCTTAGCATAGCTATGGAGATTGAAATTGTCTGTAAACATGTCGTTGGTTGGTCTTTTTCCTGTAAACATTTCCAATAAGAGGATTCCATAACTGTACAAATCACCTTGTGTTGATATGTCACCACCCATACTGTATTCTGCATTTTAAGGAGGAAAAAAAGAAGAAAAGAAATATAGAAAAGCCAAGGAAAAATAAGAGCATGAACTTGTAAACCGCTTCAACATATCCAAACTTATAGTCTTTTAGGGACTAATTTCAAGTACACATGGAAATGACCTGACTAAATAGCGGTGTTATATCTCCAACATCATCGCTATGATGCTTTAGATTCATATGATACTAGAAGAGAAATTGCAATAATGAAAAGGACAATCTGCTGAACAAGGCTCCTGCTAAAATGGGATTTGGGAGGGCAAGAAAAATTGAAATAATAATAACAATAAATTCAACCAACACTCCTGGGAAAGAAATTAGATGTATGAAATTTAAGTGGATCTTAATTACCTGGAGCGACATACCCAACTGTTCCTTTAATCCCAATTGAACTGCTTTGTGCGTAGTTGGAGTTTCCTGTGGCAGCTAAAAGAAATCTTGCTAGGCCAAAGTCACCTACATGAGCATAGAGGTTGTTGTCAAGAAGAACATTGCTCGGCTTTAAATCACAATGAGCGATTGGTATATCATAATGATGATGAAGATATTCCAATGCAGAGGCTACATCGATTGCTACGTTGAGCCTTTGGGTTAGGTTCAAGTTTTTTGTGTGATTCTGCTCAGTTGAACTTGGATATAACCAGCTCTCTAAACTTCCATTTGACATGAACTCAAAGACCAAAGCTTTGAAATCATTGCCTTTAAAATCTAAGCTTGAGCATGAGGTGATGACCTTGACGGAGGTTCCTTAATGCTTCACATTCTGCCAAGAAGCTCTTGTCTGCTCCACTTTCTTGAAGGTTAAGGACTTTCACAGCAACAATTTGCTCACCGGAATTGAGAATCCCCTTATAAACAGAACCATATCTTCCCTTTCCGATCAAGTTATCTAAAGAGAATCCATTGGTAGATTGATGTAGTTCTGCATAAGAAAGTTTCGGATGTTGGTTTTCCTCTGTTGACACCAGAGAGGGTTGTTTGGACTTTCTTAATCGATAAAGAACAGCACAAACACATACTACCAAGAGAACG